ACTAAAACCACTTGTTTTTCAACTTACACTCTTCCTTCTTGAGTACTAGATTTATGAATTTAATTTCTGCTTTATAGAAGTTATCACTTTTAACAACTAGAGGAGAGAGACTCTAAATTGCTTTTATTGCTGCTAGACTCTTCAACACATCTTGCTCCGTGTTGTCATTTACATTTCACATTAAATGTGAAATACATTTGGAATGAGCAAATATTTGTTTTAATTTGACCCATCTGTTAAATGAAATTCAAACAGGCCTGCTACATCACAATGTTTAAATTCAGCAATTTGTAAACAATATATCTGTTCATTCTGCCTGGGTTAAAAGCACCCTAAAGCATAATTCTTATGAAAGCCACCACTTCAAAATGTATTATTCTCATGGATGCAGGCCATGGTTTCTGTCTTCTGTTCATTAATTTATTTTCTAACCAAAGTTAATTAGTGAGACTCATATTAAGAGAGTAATTTGAAATACAGCACAGAAGTCAGGGAGGAGGACACTAAACACCCTTCTCCTCCCCCCCCCCTTCCTCAATAGACACTTGTAGGCATTAATGCAAATCTGCTTGCAGACAAAATTATCACTAGAAGTTACAGAATGGCTTTCTTTTTCTTCTTTGAACAAAAGTTTTTCAAACAAAGAAAAACAAATATACCTTGAGAACTCGGTGTATTGATAGGTCCAAGGAAAGATCACACATGCCAATAGTGCTGTAGCATATGAGGATAGCAACAGATAACAGGGTCTTCATATTGAAGAAATTTGAAGCCCTGTCTTCATCTTACAGAAAAGGGGGTCATTCCTGACTTTTGACAAAATTACATTATTGTATTTTCAGATATTAGAATCTTTCAAAAAAATCTTATGTTCTGTATGCCAGTGGTGGGTAGACTCAGTCCTTAGAAAGTTCACTTTAAAAAGGAACTAGTTCTAGTTCAGGTACATCAAGTCAAGATGGGTGGCGATCGAGAGAGCAGGTGGCTAGATGCACTCCTTTAAGCAACGTGTCCACATCCTTTGGTCACAATAATCAAAATTAATCCAATACAGATGGAACAGACAATGCTCTGTATGCTGCCAGTAGACTTGCTCTAAATGTGGCATCCAACTCTGTTTGGATCCAAGACCATTTCCCCCCCTCTAAGTGCTTTGCAGATTTGTTACAGCCAAGGGTGGCAGAGCAATGCTCTCTTGCACAGATGACAAAGCCCATTCACCACTTGTAGATGCATCAATGGCGGAGAAGTATGCTTTTTCATCACAACCACATGGTAGGCATGGTAATGCAACCTTACCCTGGCCAGGGTTTACTAGAACCCTGAGATCAACCAGATGCAAAATACATGTGCTCAGAATTAAAGAATTCTAAGCCCAGAACTGTTTTCAGCATCAGAACTGAATGTAGCGCAGAGTTCCTTCACACAAAAATCCACTTAGGTTATCCTAAGCTTTTTTTTTCTACTTCAAAAGTATATAATCTGTGGGAGAGGGGCATTATTTCATTGCTGCTATTGGTAAACAATTGAGAGTCAAAAATCTTTTGCAATCGATCACAAATCACCCAGAGATTTTCCAATCAATCTGGATTTGCTGTCTCCCCACCCCTCCTTTATACTATGGAAGATAAGAGAGACAAAACTGAAGTCCCTATGCTCTGTCCTGTTAAAGTATGTGGATATTTCTGAATGTCTGTGAAAATGCAGGCAGGGAAAAGAGCATGGCCTGACAGACAGGAAGGTAACAGTTCCTAGAATATGGCCCATTGTAGCGACCCACAGATTAACTTCCAGTTGTTCAAGTCCCATGAAGTGCATTGTGGTACCATCACCTGGGAAGGCGACAAAATAATGTTCAAAGGCTGTAGCACATCTAGTCACAGTGATGTTGCTCACCAAAAGAACAGACAAACCAATCCAGGTGCGAAAGCAAATCGTATGACTCATCCAAGTACACAGCATCCTGATAGTATATGGAAACACGAGAAAAGGTTAATGTGAAAAACAACAACAACCAGATAGCACATAAAAAGAGCTAAGTGTTGAACCAAAAACCACAATGAAATCACACTTGGGTTTTTGAAATGGCCCTTCTTTCCAGGCCTGGTCTAACTTTGTAGTACTAAACTGGAAACATGTGTAAAGGTGCTGCAAGTAAGAAAAACTAAGCCAGTGTGAGTAAAGCATTATGCCATCAAGTCTTCTGTTGTTCACATCATGCCAGCCACCAAGAACTGACCAGATGCACTTTAAAGGTAAAGGGACCCCTGACCATTAGGTCCAGTCGTAACCGACTCTGGGGTTGCGGCGCTCATCTCGCTTTACTGGCCGAGGGAGCCGGAGTACAGCTTCCGGGTCATGTGGCCAGCATGACTAAACCGCTTCTGGGGAAGCAGAGGAGCGCACGGAAACGCCGTTTACCTTCCAGCCGGAGCGGTACCTATTTATCTACTTGCACGTGCTTTCGAACTGCTAGGTTGGCAGGAGCTGGGACCGAGCAACGGGAGCTCACCCCGTTTCGGGGATTCGAACCGCCGACCTTCTGATCAGCAAGCCCTAGGCTCTGTGGTTTAACCCAGAGCGCCACCTGTGTCCCTTAGATGCACTTTAGGCAAGCCTTTATTTCTTAGTTGTTTCTCTCCCAATGCAGATCTTACCTATGAAGACAACAATACTGACCTTCCTCACAGGGCTTACTAATATAATATATGTGGAGTGCATTCTTCTTCTTAGCTTTAATAATGAAAACAGCAACAAGTAGTATGGCATTTTTCATCAGTCACTGGACCTGAACCAGCCTGTTTGGTGTAGCACATATTTCCATCATAAATCCTATCGTCTTTGCACAACTATGAATATGGACTAGAATTATACTTACTAAATAAAACAAAATGCCACAATAAAGCAACCTTGATTATATATTCGCCACTCTCTCATCCCATATTTTTTTCTCTCACACACACACCTGGCTTCTTTTTCGTCTGAGCATACCTCTGTTGACTGCACACTTCTCCCAAACTGATGGTAGATTACTAGCCCTTGCTACAGTTCAAAACTTATCAGGGCCTCTCCAATACAATCTATTTTTTAAATAGAGCCAGCACTGACATTTACTGCATCTGGGATTTTTGGTTGGAAAATTCATTCTATAGACAAGAAACGAGCAGGGGCTTTTCACAGATCATAGCAAAAGTGCAAGGAGCTAAAAAAAAGCAGAGGATGCAGTTATTAATCTATGTAATCTATGCAATTTGTGCCCCCTTTATCACACCCTTTACCCCTCCCCCCAAATGTAGTGGACCTCTAGAAAAACAATTTTAAAATCTCCTCTGGTTTGGTTGTGCACTCTGGTTTGGTATGTTAGCTGATTCGTTTATTGTAGCGCCAGCACCGTACAAAGCAGGCCAGTGAAAAGGAGGAATTGCAGCAATTCAAGCAGAACATGATGAAAATCACATCTAAGAGCTCTCAACAAGATGCTGAGGCTACATGGATCACAGCCTGGAAAGATTCTCAAGATGGTGAGATGACAACTTGATTAGATTTAGTCTGAAAAATGTGGCAAGAGAGATCAGAATCAAACATAATTCCCAAGTTATTGGTCTTTTAATAAGCTCTAGGTGCAGGGAGGGGAAATTCCAAGAAAGGCAACTATCTGGCTGGCTTAAAGTGATCAAGGCCTAGCAAAAACAAATAAGTTGAAAGAAAGGCTTCCAACTTTTTAAGAGCCCCTGCTCTCATACCTTTAATGGCAACTTCGGCATCTGAAGATTTCTTATGGCATGCCACTGTCTTCACATTTAGTGACAACCTCCTTGAGAATATGCATGGCTGCTGCCAGGCATGTGACTGACTCAGGCTAACAGTCTTGTAAAAAGGCAAAATAGGCAGGAACCATAGTTCCCAAGGAAAGGCTACTAATTCTCCACAACTGCCACCTCCATGCCAGCCCAGAGGGTGGAGTGGGATCAGGTGGGCTGGGTGTCATCATGAGCCAGACTCTAATCTTTGCCAGGACAGTTTCAGCTACCAGGGATTCTGTTAAAGGCACATGAGCAGGGCTATAGTAAATGATAGTGGCCCTGGCATCAACCCAAATCTCAGGTTTAAGCTTTCTGAATGCACACATTTGGAGTGGCATTTGGCGCTTGCAAGGCTCATTATTTGTTTCTGCTTGTTTGTTTGTTTGGGGGTTTTTTGGAACAGTTTAAAAACAAACAAAGTCTTTTAATCAGCACTCCAGTCCTGAACCTATTTGTTCAGAAATAATTCTTAGTGATGCTAGTGGGACTTTCGCCAGGTAAAGGATTTACAATTGCAGCTTAAGGTTGTGATTTGCAAAGGGCTCCTCATTCTTTCCGGCAAGATCAACATGTAAAAAGCTTCCTTTCCTTGAACCCTATTCCATACATCTCCCCCACTTTGCCTATAAAAAATAAAAAATCTAGTTTCGTTTATCTAAAAATGGGGATAAGATGTTATCAAGCAGCATGACTAGTAAAAGCAAATTGAATTTTAGGATCCCCCGCTTAATTCAAACGAGACAAAAATTATAACACTACACAAGATAAGCATTTAGCTTTAAAATTGAAATATTTAAATCAAAAGTGCTTTCTTTAAGTGATGATGGGAAAGTGGGACAGGATGGGTAGAGAAGCCTGTTGAAAAGCTGAGTTACTTGGTTCTGTGCATAAAGAAAAGGGAAATGCAGCTGAAATGAAAACCATTCCTCTCAAATGCACATTCTGAAGGCACTAATGCTTACTTTAATATCACCACCGCACAGGTTCCATGCAATTTATGCCATTTGCTTTGTGCTGAGCAGAATTATTTCCATAATGAATAGGGAATGGTGAAACACTAAAAGGGAGATGAAACCCACCTCATTTTCCCATCATTTCATCCTGAATCAATCCCACCCTGCCATTTGTCTTTCCTTTTGTAGCTGCAGAGTCATTACCAACACACACACACATACATGTACATAAACAGGGTCTTACCTAGGAAGAGGATAGTCTGTTTTCTGGAACTCCTGCCATCGGGATTCTCGTTTTTCCTTAGGTACTGGTTTTGGCTTTCTCTCTCCCCTCTCACGGCTAAGGTCCCTTGTTTGTGGATCATCAGGGCTTTCATCATATTCCGGCACATAAAAGCCACAGATACCAACACTACGACATACACAATAAAAGCAGTGAAGATACCAGACTGGAAGGCCTTCCATCGAGACGACAAGCTGGTGCATATGGTGACATTTAGCATCAAGTTAGGCATGTGGTGCCGGGGTTTGGGTTTGCTGCAGGGAACCAATCCTCGGTGGCCCTGGATGGCTTCCAACGGGTACTCTGTGCCCATCGCAAAGAGAAGAGGTAAGGCCACAAGGACAGATGTAATCCAGACAAAGGCAATGAGGATCCTCACTTTGCAGGGCCCAGAAGCAGCTTTAAACTTGAAAGGGTGGCAGATGGCAATGTACCTTTCAAAGCTGAGAGTGGCCACATGCAGCACCGTAGCATAGCTGCAGGCCTCAAAAAGGAAGCAGTAGAGCTTGCAGGCGAGGTTGCCTTGAGGGGTGGAGAAAGGGGTCCAGATCATACTGAAGAACTCCACGGGCATCCCCAGCAAGAGGACCAGCAGGTCCGAGCATGCGAGGCTCACCATGTGGTCTGTGACCTCTTTCTGCAAGTAGCCCTTCTTCTGCAGCAGTTTGGTTGTCCGGATGGTGACACTGTTGCCCACAATGCCTGCCACAAAGATGACGACGTAGATAAGGGCTAGGGTGATCTTGATCCATTGGTCCACTTCAAATTCTTTAATGTGGGTTTCATCAATTATATCCCAACAACCCTGCTGGCTGTTTCCTGTCTCCATGAGCAGAGCTAATCACAGACACACACACACAATGGAGGAAAGAGAGACAAAAGGTGGGTCAAAACATGTCACTGATCCAAACATCCTTCCTAACAAAGCTTACAAGTTTACTCACAGGCCAAGGCCTACTGCATTCTAGGAAGCTTATTTCACACAGGTAAGAAGCTGTGAAGTAATAGCAATGACTCACCTACACCCAAACAGGCAACACAACTTTTTTTTCTGAATCAGCACCTCACACCAGTCACATTAGTGGATTAGTCAATCCAGGAAAGAGATGAGACAAACCATTATTCGCTTTAAAAAAGAAGAACCACGAAGGAAATGCTTCTTTCTTCTAAGTATTGTTTCTGTCGTGTACCTAATTCCTCCTCACACGCTTCAGGGTGCATCCAATTCTCCTTGATGGAAGGAAGGCTAAGCCCTTCGGGTTTTCTCCAGGCACTCCCTGTTCCTTGCCCCGCCAGCTTCTGAGTGACGAGAGTTCCCTCTGGCCGACAGGCAACCACTTCCGTCAAACATTAACTTCTAGCTGAACTGCCGGGTAGGATGTGGTTAGTGACTGAAAAGATAAGGTGGCCAAAAAAAGGGACAAGGCAAGCCTGGTTCCAGCCAGTTAGCTTCCTCTGCCCTCCCTGAAATCTGATCTCTACTCCTTCTTAACAACTGTGAAGTGAAACCTGACAAGGAAAATAAATAAATTAAATAAAGGCAGGGCGTGGCTGCTAGGGTGTTTGATTTTGCCCTCTTTCTCAATGTCCTCTGTTTACAGCACTTCACGTGGGTGGAAGTTTTGCAGCTTTCCGTTTCTCGTCTTTCTACATGGGAGATACTTACAGGTTTCACGTCACCAAGCAGCAGAGAAAAGAAACGATTATTGCTTCAAATGCCATATGAACCTGGGACTAGATGAAGAATAGGAACTCTGCCAGGCTGTGATGGTTGATCCCATTGCTGGTTTAGAACACAGGGCTCTAGAATACATACGTGCCTAAAAGTACAAAAAGCTTCCTGCAACAGACAGCATGCAACCCCCCCCCAAAAAAAGACGTATAGGGGTCTAGCTTATGAAACTCTCACCTACTCCCAATAACTTTTAAACCCAAATTACAAGGCAAGTCAAGAGCCTTCTCTAAACAGAAGTAATAAATTGGGCTAATAATTTCCAAAATCCATTATTTTATACTCTCAGTGCAATTCTAGACATGTCTGCTCAGAACTACGTGCCACTTAGTTCAATGGGACCTACCCCCAGGTAAGTTAAATTTAAAGCACTTTCAGTGCACGTTTGAAGCCCAATAATCCTGGGAAGTGTAGTTTGATAAGGATTTTGGGAAGTGTAACTATGAGGGGGAAGCTACAGTTCTCATGATTCTTTGGAGTGGGTCATGCTTTAAATGTGTGCTGAATGTGATTCAAATGTAGGGTGTGGGTCTACCCATAGTGTAATATGGGATAAACTCTTCATACAAACCCTTAATAGCATTATTTTAAGATTTCCTTCTTTTCCTGCTAGATAACAGAAATACATATAGATAGCAGTCCTAACCACGCTTATTCCTCTGAGCCCTAGAGGGGAAGTGAATTTAATGCACACTATATTTTTTTGTTTCGAAGAACCTCTCATGGTAACCTCCAGAGTTTTATATTTATAGATTAGCATACCTTCACATTTCAGTGCAGGCTACTTCACAGCTAAATAGAATCACTTCCAGAGGACTTTCTCCAGACTACTAGGCTCAATCTACTACAAAATCTCAAAGCAACAAGTTCCAGACTAAAAATGGTTATAATTGGAAAAGGTGGGCTTGCTTTTTAGCCATTCACAAGAGTGAAACAACAGATAGCTATTAAACAGTTCTCATCATATTCAAGGTAGTTATCTTCCCAACCAAAAACTTAATGAACAAAAGATGCCAAAAAATCAGCACCTGTTCCAGTTGATTATTCATGCAGTCCTATTTCAGAGGAAAACCTCTTTCCTCCAATCTCTGTGCCGCTTCAAGCCCTCTTGCCCCAATCCTCCTTCCTTGTGCTTGATAATTCAAATTTGTTCTGCTCAGACAAGCTTTCTATTATTGCCCAATTTCTTTCACTTAATTTTACTTTATAAAAGTGTGAACAAAGATTACATATGCATGGCTGAATTGTGGATATGAAACAAATTAAAATTTGCCCATTACCAGGGGCTGAGGAAAGAGAGGAAATAAGGGCCCAGGGAAAATTGTTGGTTCCCCCACAGACATACTTTCCTATCCAATTATATAAAAAAGCACCAGTTTTGTAATCTCAGTATGATAACATATGTAATCAGATTGTATTATTAACATGTCTTCTAGTAAGAGAGAGGTATGGGGTGAATTTATCACTTCCTCTATAGCTTCTTCCCCACAGCAATTGGGAAGGTGTGTTGTCTTCTTAAGAGACCGGTTACAAGAAGGAAAACCACCTTTATTAACTTTAGGCAGTGCTTCTTTTCTGGAGGGACGCAGGTGTACGCATTCCCCTAAACATTTTGTGAATTAAATTTGACCTCATTGAGGGGCAGTATTTCAATATGAGTAGGAAAATGAGAGTACTCCTAAACATTTTAATAATAAAAAAGCACTGACATTAGGAATAGCTATAAACATGAGTTTACAGTACAGTGGTACCTTGGTTTAAGAACAGTCCAGTTTAAGAATGATTAGGTTTACGAACTCCGCAAAAACGGAAATAGTGTCTTTATTTGAGAACTTTACCTTGGTCTAAGAACGGAATCCAAACTGTGGAAGGGCACTGGTGGTGGGAGGCCTCATTAGGGAAAGCGCGCCTCAGTTTAAGAACGGTTTTGGTTTAAGAACGGACTTCCAAAACGGATTAAGTTCGCAAACCGAGGTACCACTGTACTTGGATGCACTGGGCCTGTTTTAAGTCCTGCTTGTGTATATCTTGTTTCCTGTTATTGCTAATTCCCCATTAATCAGCTTCCATTGCCATCTTCAGTTAGCAGGACCTTCCATCATAGGCGCCGACTCCATGGGGCTTGAGGGGGCTCGAGCCCCCTCAAAAAATTTTTTGGGGGGCTCAGCCCCCCCAATAATCTCGGGCGCCGGGGGCGGGGCTCCTGCCTCGCTGCTTCGCAGCACCACCGCCACTGCCAAGGCACTGCCGGGGGGAATTTCCTTCCTCCTGGCGGTTTCAGCCCCCGCGAGAACAGGGGAATCCCGACTGGCCACACCTCCCAGCCAGCCAATCGGCTGGCTGGGGGGGCGTGGCTTGCCCTATTTAGGGCCGGAGCCACTTTATTTGCATATTCATGAGCTTATTTATTATTCATGAGCTTTCCCGGGCCCCCCCAATATTTTTTATAAGTCCGCGTCCCTGCCTTCCATATTCAAGAAACAGGGCATTTCTCTACTGCATGACAGCTAGTTAAATCCTAAATTTGTTTCTGTATAGGCATTTTCATTAGTCTACCCTACCACCAAATATTGTAGAGGAAGGCATTCAAAAGGTTTGGAAGAAAAGTGTGTCGTTCTAGAAGGGAAGGAGAGTAGCTCGGGGCTTTGAATATTGGTAGTTATCAATACCAGGGCACATAGTTAAACATAGTGGCTGACCAAGTGGAACAAGCAACAAATTGTTGCAACATATTCTCTCTCTTAAAAGAGTGCTCATTTTCAGTGCTCCAGAGAGATATTCCATCCAAACTGACTTACCTACAGTCCTGTTGATACCCACCATAAGTGTTTGCTATTAGAAGGAGTGATAGTTGACTTGAGAGGAGGTAATAATATATTTCTTGTAATATAATTCCAAGAAGACAATATGCTGCAACTTCAAGATCAGGTTTTTTTTATTCTAACTCCCATCATCCCAGACCACAGACTATGTTGACTGACAGCAGTCTAGAATCTAAATGTGGGTAAGATGCAAGTTAGATGTGCTTAAGCCCAATGATTTAAGTCATTTCATCATCACAATTCTGCTCAAAAGCAATTCCCTTTGAGTTCAATGGATTTTACTCCCAGGTAAGTGGCTAAAGATTGCAACCTAAGCATGCATAATTTTGTGTAGGATATATATCCTGTAATCTTGAGCAATAACCACCTTCAAATATGTGTTGTGGAACTGATACAAAGCAAAAGCAAACACCACCATATCAACAGTAATGCAAATTATGACTATTCTGTCTCAAGATATGTAAATTGCTGTGATGCTAATCAACAATGGTCTTCTCTGCCATTGTTTACCTATGGTATATGAACTTTAGGTGCCGATAATTTTGTAATAACATTTCTGTTTATTGGTGAAGAAGTGTTTCTCCCTCATTAAGTTCAGTTAATAAGCATAGTTGCTGCTTTTGAGCCACCTTATGCAGTGCTTTTTTTCTGGGGGTACACAGGAGTACACATACCCCTAAACATTTTGTGAATCTTTATACTTTTGTCCATTTACTGTATTTATTTTCCCCAGTTTGAATTATAAAATGGTGATTTTCTTGAGTCAAAATGAGATTACCCCTAAACATTTTTTTTGGGGGGGGGGAGAACTGACCTTATGAATATTGTAAAAACACCAAATTCAACATATATGGACACACGGCGTTTCTGGCTGCTCACAGTTAAAGAATTCCATTTTTCTGGAAGCTGACAAAACCTGAGCATTTTCTGCAGTGTCAACCTTATTTGAACTCCTTAATTGTAATTTACATATATATAATGTTTCAAAGTGCAGTTACCTTCCCTGACCACTATTCCCTTCTCTTTTCTGGACATGAATAACATTGTCTAACAGGGAGAAAATCAAGAGGTACGACTTCTCTTCTTGCTGCATATAACTCTGTGATGAGAAACGCAGCTCCTGCTAAATATCTCACACTCTTCTGGTTCTTATAGGCAGGCACAGGAGCCTCTGTCAGAAAAGAAAGTGGTAATCTGTACCTTCGGGGATAATTGAAGAGAAAAAGATGGGGGGGATATACTTATATTTTAAAGCCTAGTGGATTTAATGGTGGTTTGCATTTTAATGTCTCTGTGTGTTTTTAATATGACTAATGTTGCTGAGCTTTTTAAAAGAAGAAACCGAGTCCATAAGTTCCGTTGTGCGAGCTAAGCATTTCGTGTATACGATTGCAATGGCAAAATCTGTGCCTGTTCTAATAAGGAATTGCATTCCTATATAGTAGTAAATGGCACTTAGAAACACCTAGATGATTTTAATGTTTTGCGACATAGGCCATTAGCTTCCGAGGTGGTGTGTTTTTTGGGAGGGGGGACTAAGAAGACCTTGATTTATTATTATTTTTTAAAAAAATCAGAGCAGTGTTTTCTTTTCTTTCCCCTTGCTATTTGGAGAAAGATAGGAAGATGTTTGGGTGCATAATAGTTTGCACTCTCAGCAAATGGCAGGGATGTGGAAATGTTTACAGAAGTGCTTTGCAGTCCTTAAGGTAAGTATGCGCCTGCACTGGTTATCTAGAAGGGACTGAATATAAAACATTGATTTTGTTTCATTAGCATCCAACTATAGAGGCAGGCTGCCATCAATCAGAAAGGAAAGTGATATATAAACTAGGAAATTAAGATAATGCAGAAAGCCCATAAAAATGGAGATTATTTGCACACAATGCAGATTTAGCAGTGGCATC